GGGAATCCCCAGCTAGCAGAGAACTGGCCTAGGCTTCTCCTGTGCCACCATCTCGTGCAGTCCCTAGCACAGCAGGCGTGGAACGAGCACTATGGTGCTCCAGCAATTTCTGCAGCTCTACTGGCCACTTGGGATCACAGCCGGCTGGTATAATTTAGAACAACCCTCAAGCTCAGACCATTTGAGAACTAGCCCCAGCCTCAGGATCAGGGAGCTGCAACTGAGGGAGGGGAGGAGGGGGGAAGAACAATCAGACACTGCTGTGGCCGCAGCTATAGCGCACAGCAGAGCATCTCCCCCCTAAGGGAGATCTTGGGTCTTTTTATTCTTGTTAGTTGTAGTTTCTAAACCTTTTCCCTGTGAGGACAGCCTTTAAACATCAAACCAATCATGAGGGGTGAAAGGATGAAGCAGCGTCTGCATTTCTGTAGCTGGAGGCTGAAGGCACCTAAATACACCCAGTGGACTTAACAACAGAATTACATAGATCTGTTTGAGATGTACCTAAGGGCTAACCCTTCCTAGAGCCTGGAGGTCAGCTCTGTGCATGCTGCTGCATTTGTGGTGGGCATGGGATCCATAGAGAGAGGGAGGTGAGCTAGGGCAAAAAGCTGAGGAGAAGGAGTAAGGCCAGAGCAAGGCCAGGGAGGGGGAAACACATTATCTCCCAAGTCCCATTGGACATGTCACTAACTGGCCTGGGGCTGTATGGGCTGTTTATCAGAGCTCCATCCATGCAGGCAGATCCCTGGGACAATGTGGCTCCACTGGAGTTGTGCTGCCAGGGAATGGGGGGAGCAGGGGAGGGTTGGAGGGCACAGAGCACGTCTGCACATATCAGAGAGATTTTTGCATCATCATCATCATTGAGCCTCCTTGGGCCAGTGTGGTGCCTCTTGTGGTGACAGCAGCAGTAGGGAGCTCTGATTTTGCTGGAAAAGGGAAACTGCTAAGGGACAAATATTAACTATTGTTTAAATTTGTGAAACTTTGACATTTTACATCATTTTAACAAACAAAAATATTGAAAAACATAATAGATAAATTAGGTGACACTCATGTTTCAATAGCCAATGTTTTGTGAATTCTTGGATCAGAGAAATGCTTTGGAAAGACGGGTGCAAATGCTTTTAGGCTTAGGAAACTTTTGTAAGCCTTGCTCCTGGCCAGCAATGATCAAAGAGACATTCAGTCCCTTATTCCCAGCAACCACAATCTTCTTGAGCTGCCAGGCATGCATGGGAAGTGTGACTAACAGGGTACAGCACATTGTCAACAGAAAATTGGGTTTTTGTCAAAACAATTCTTTTGTGTGAAAATTGTCAGCATTCCATGGGAAAAACAAACTTTTCTTATGAAAACAGAAAAAATTTGATTCTGAAATGCTGCTGAAGTGCTGTATGGGAGTCATAGCTCAGGTGTCTCATGACCCCTTTCTTCTCTATGGGCCAGGCTCCCTCTCTGGACTACATCTCCCATAATGCGCCATGGTGGCTCAGCAAGAGAGAAAACCATGGTGCATCATGGAAGATGTAGTCAGGCTAGGGATCTTGGCCCATAAAGGAGAATGGGAGCATGAGACAAACAAACTAAAATTTCCATAACACATTGCAGCAGCATTTTTTTATTGAAATTTTGGTTTTCAGCCAAAACTTTTTGGTTTTCAAGGTTTTCTGTTTGTTTTGTTTTGTTTCCTACCAAAACCTCAAAATTTTCCATGGTGGGGAAAAAAAATAAAAAAATAAAAATATTGTCCCATGTGTGCTGCTCCTGCTCAGCAGTCAGATTCATAGATTCATAGATTCATAGATTCTAGGACTGGAAGGGACCTCGAGAGGTCATCGAGTCCAGTCCCCTGCCCGCATGGCAGGACCAAATACTGTCTAGACCATCCCTGATAGACATTTATCTAACCTACTCTTAAATATCTCCAGAGATGGAGATTCCACAACCTCCCTAGGCAATTTATTCCAGTGTTTAACCACCCTGACAGTTAGGAACTTTTTCCTAATGTCCAACCTAGATCTCCCTTGCTGCAGTTTAAGCCCATTGCTTCTTGTTCTATCCTCAGAGGCTAAGGTGAACAAGTTTTCTCCCTCCTCCTTATGACACCCTTTTAGATACCTGAAAACTGCTATCATGTCCCCTCTCAGTCTTCTCTTTTCCAAACTAAACAAACCCAATTCTTTCAGCCTTGCTTCATAGGTCATGTTCTCAAGACCTTTAATCATTCTTGTTGCTCTTCTCTGGACCCTTTCCAATTTCTCCACATCTTTCTTGAAATGCGGTGCCCAGAACTGGACACAATACTCCAGCTGAGGCCTAACCAGAGCAGAGTAGAGCGGAAGAATGACTTCTCGTGTCTTGCTCACAACACACCTGTTAATACATCCCAGAATCACGTTTGCTTTTTTTGCAACAGCATCACACTGTTGACTCATATTTAGCTTGTGAAGGGGAACAGGCTCAGAGCTCTACCTCCTCTCTGCTTTTCATTGACCCTTCGGGGTACTGGGTTTCCCCCAAGGATACAGTTCCTGTGCTCCCCTGAGAGCAGGTACTGCAATTATCTCTGGTTCTTGTGTGGGAATTACAAGGATGTGCAATTAGGACCCTGCCTTCTCCCTCTGCACCTGTGTAAATGCCAGGTCCAATCTAGCTCTATTATAACAATAGCATCAGTGACACTGGTTATGGTGAGATGGCAATGCCATGATAAAACCCTGGGTAGGATTTTCTAACTTGTGCATGTAAAACAGCAGGGCAGATTGGCCGTGACTTTAGGTTTTTTCTCCTTTCCTCTGTATCAGGGCCGTCCATAGGAGGGTGCAGGGCCTGGAACAACACCCCCCTCCACCCCAGGCCCCGCCCCCATGCCAGCCTTTCCTCCAAACCCCCACACCAGCTTCACCCCCTCCCCATCCTCACTCCACCCCTTCTGCCAAGCCCCCGCCCCCTCCCCCAAGTGATGCTGGGAGCTGGCAGGGTGGGACAGAGCATAGCAGAGTGGGGTGGGCTGGAGCCGGATTGCTATGTCCGCTTCCCACTGGTGAGTGTGGGGACGGGCCTGATGCCTGCTGCTGGTGCCAGGCCACCTGCTAATCCCTTGGGTACCTCCCTGGACCCCACATCCCCCTGAAGTGTGGGGCCCCCCAAAACATAGGGCTCGGGGCAGTTGGCCTGGTCCATCTTATGGATGGGTCGGCTCTGCTCTGCAGTGTGTGTGTCCGGGACGCTAGGCAGGATTATTGGGGTAATCATTTCCCTGCCATTGAGTGTGCCTCAAACACTGGTGCACCTCGGTCCCTCTTATCCTCTGCCTGTGGCACATAATAGTCGAGTCTCCTGTGGACTGTAATACTTTGGTCTCATTTTGGTTGTTGGGTTTCATGTGCTGGGGCTGGGGGTTGTTGGTTGCCTGTGACGTATGGGACATCAGACTACATGATCGAGTGGTCCCTTCTGGCCTTAAAAGCTATGGTATTATTGCAATTAGATTTTTCAAAGGAAAAGGAGAAAACAGCAAAAGTTGAAGAAGAAGGAAGAGGGAACAACAGACAAGGGGATCTGGGACCACGTGCAGAGATACACCACGCCAAGGAGCAGGGAGAAGATCATCCCTCTCTGAAAGACTCTGGTAAGACTGTGCTTAGAATACTGCATCCACCTCTTAGTCCAATTATGCCGGGTGGATGCATCCCAAACAGAGGGAACTCAGAGAACAACAATAAATGTAATTAAAGGAGTGCACAATTGATCTACGAAAAAAGAACAAATAAATTAAACTGTTATGTTCAAAATGTTATAGAGGGACGAATCCCACACTGACACATGCAGGGGTGTTTCCTAGGAAGAAGCCATTTCCTGTGCACTTAGTGGCTCAATTTACACTGTATTAGGAATTGTGTAATGACCATTTCTAGAAATGGTTCACATGTGAATGCTGCTGAATCAATTAATGTATTGTGGTTGGTCTGTGTGCTCCTACTCAGGCTAGAACACGTTTTTATTTTCTTAAAGTGTGCTCATATGGTTTGGCCCTACGCACACAGCCTGTAGACTGGTTTAATGGTGCCCGTGGCCTAAAACATTTTAAAGCATGTCTTTCTAACACAACTGAACTGCTGCTGGTGTGCTGTACGGGAGTCATAGTTCATGTGCATTCTTTCTTCTTTCCTGGCCAGGCTCCCTCTCTGGACTACATCTCCCATGATGCATCATGTGGCTCAGCAAGGGAGAAAACAATGACGCATCATGGAAGATGTAGTGAAGCTAGGGATCTTGGCCCGTAGTGAAGACAGGGCCTTCATAAGCAAGTCAGCTGTCCACTGAAACAGTGGCACTCCACCTCCCACCCTGCACTACTTGGATTAAAGATGGGCCCAGTCCAATCCTGTCCTCCAGTATTTGGAGTGGCAGTATCAAGGAATGGGGGTGCAGGGTGAGGCAGAGAAGAGTATGTAGAGGTGAGAAAAACAGAAAGAAATTAAAAGAGCTAGCAAACAGGAGAGAAGAGAAAACACAACCAAGGGGCAAGAAGAGAAGTAGTTTAAAATGACAAAAGAAGACAAAAGTGGGAGGAGAATAAAGAATTAAGATAGAAATTAGAAGAAAAAATCAGAATGAACAAAAAACAAATGAGCCAAATTATCCTTATTCAGAAAAACACTTAAGCAAATTCTTAACTTTAAGCACATGCTCAAATCTCATTTATTGTAATGGGACTTAAATCTGAGCTTAATTGCATTGATGAATCAGAACAAAGATGATAGAGGATCAAGGACAAAATAATTAAACTATAAAAGATGAGACTATTTTTAATCTGTAAAATTCTAGCAAAATATCAAGTCACATGATGGTGGGAATGCTGGGTGAAAGGGGAGGGGGAGAATGGAAAGAGTAGAATGCCACCAATATTTTGTCCTGTCCAACTTTTGGATATAACCGATGAATGGCAGTTCACATGACCTTTGTTTGATCAGCTGTACTCAGTACGTCTAATGCTTCATGCCATTGTCATTGAATTAGATTACCAGAAGAAGTATAGAGAACATATACAAGAAGAATACCAAATAATAGAAGACAGGAATGCTCGCCTGGGTGAATATGTAAGTCTAAACAACAGATACACAAAACTGCTTATTGTAAAGGAACATCGGCAGCGGGAGGAGAAAGAACATGAAATAATCACCAGAGGAAGGAGACATGCAGAATTGATGGCTCAACAAACCAGTCACACTAAGATTAGTGTTTTATTTGACCCTGGTAGAAATCGGGAAATCCCAAGAACTGTTGTGCTGCAGGGAGCTGCTGGAATTGGGAAAACAATGACAGCAAGAAAGATCATGTTGGACTGGGCAGCTGGAAAACTCTATCAGAAAAAGTTTGATTATGTTTTCTATATAAATTGCAGAGAAATAAACCGTGTTACTGCAGAACAAAGTGTTGCTGATTTGCTTTTAAACAATTTTCCTGATGGAGTAGGATCAATTAAAGAAATCTTTAAGAAGCCAGAAAAACTCCTGTTTGTAATAGATGGTTTTGATGAATTGAGTTCCTTGCTAGATATTGATGAAGTTAGTCTGTGCACTGACCCATTTGAGAAGAAGCCAGTGAAAACCATCCTGTGCAGTTTACTGAGAAAAAAAGTTCTTCAAAAATCCTTCTTACTAATCACTACAAGACCAACTGCTCTGGAGAAACTACAGCAGAATTTGAGGTTTCCATGTTATGCAGAAATAATGGGATTTTCTGGAGATGACAGGAAAGAATATTTTCATAAATTCTTTTGTGATGAAAAGAAAGCAACACAAGCCTTTAATTTTGTCAAAGAAAATGAAATGCTCTTCACCATGTGCTTTGTCCCCATTGTGTGTTGGATCATCTGCACGGTTATGAAGCAACAGATGGAAAGAGGGGAAGATCTTGCACAAACTTCAAAAACAACCACCTCGGTATATTTGCTCTTTCTGACCAATTTACTAACTGGTCATCTCACTGGCTCAATACAAGAATCTAAAACTAACCTGTGGAAGCTTTGCTCATTGGCTGCAGATGGAATTTTAAAACAGAAAATACTGTTTGAAGAAGGTGATCTGAAGAAACACAATTTATCCTTGTCTAACATTCAGTCTCTCTTTCTGATTAAAAGTATTTTTCAAAAAGATACTGAATGTGAGAGTGTCTACAGCTTCATTCACTTGACCTTCCAAGAGTTTTTTGCAGCTATGTTCTATGTGCTAGAGGAAGATGAAGAGACAATGAAAAAATCATTGACTTCTAAGAAAGATGTGAACCACTTGCTAAAAACTTATGGAACATCTAAAAATAATTATTTGATGTTAACAGTACGTTTCTTGTTTGGTCTCTTAAATAAAGAGAGACTAAATGACATAGAGAAAATGTTAAATTTTAAAACAACCTCTGAAATAAAGCTGGATTTATTGAAGTGGTTTGAAGCAGAAGCTAAAAACATCTCCCCTCTGCCCTATAAGACCTATGAGGAACTGTGTGACCAGCTTGAGTTCAAACTGTCTGTACTTGGCTACCTTGATTATCACTTCAAAAGTTTTTTTTCTCTTACTTAATTGGCCTCTCAGAGTTGGTAAGACAACTCCCACCTGTTCATGCTCTCTGTATGTGTGTGTATATATATCTCCTCGATATGTTTCACTCAATATGCATCCAAAGAAGTGGGTTGTAGCCCACGAAAGCTTATGCTCTAATAAATTTGTTAGTCTCTAAGGTGCCACAAGTACTCCTGTTCTTTTTGCGGATACAGACTAACACGGCTGCTACTCTGAAACCTATCAAATATTTGTTCCCCATGAGGTACTTGGACACTGTGATCATGTCTCCCCTTATCCTTCTCTTTCCCAAGCTAAGTGGATTGAACTCTGTCACTATCAGGCAGGTTTTCCAATCCTTGCATTATTCTCATGGCTCTTCTCAGGACCCTCTCCAATTTATCAACATCCTTCTTGGACTGTGGGCACCAGAACTAGACACAATATTCCAGCAGCCGTCACACCAGTGCCAAATACAGAGGTAAAATAACCTTGACTCCTACTCGAGATTCTTCTGTTTATACATCTATTAGCGCTTTTGGCCACAGCATCGCCCTGGGAGCTCATGCTTAGCTGATTATCCACCGTACCCCCTCAAGTCTTTTTCAGTCACTGCTTCCCAGGATAGGGTTCCCCACCCTGTAAGTGTGGCCTACATTCTTTGTTCCTAGAGGTACACGTTTCTATTGATCTGTACTAAAATGCACATATTGTTCACTTGCGCCCAATTTCCCAAGCAATACAGATCCCTCTGTAGCAGTGACTTGTGCTCTAAATCTCTGCATTATTTCCCATTTTGCAATTTTTGTGTCATCTGTAAACTTTATCAGTGATACTATGTTGTCTGCCAGGTCATTGATAAAAATGTTACAAAGCATAGGGCCAAGAACTGTGGGACCCCAATAGAAACACACCCTCACAACTTAAACACTACAAGCCCTGGAGGGAATACTTTACCATGTGCAGGTGTTGTGTCAGTTACTATGTGTTCTATATGTGATTGTTCAGATGAGTTGAAGGGAAAGGTAGATTGAGGGTCTATTTCTAGTAGGTGGGGTAATCCTAACAATATCCTGTAATGACCTGCTGGTTCCCTACTGGATACTGCCCCCTCTAGAATGGTATGAAGAGAAAGGACTAAGCCCTAGGCTATTCTGGTAGAGGACGGACCTAGATTAGCATCTCACCAGTAGGGGGTGCTGTGTTAACCAGAATGACAAGGAAAGAGATGTGACATCCTGTGGACAGAAGGGATCAGGCCGGGAGAGAGAGATGGCCAGTGTGGGTGAGAGTGAGCAGCAGGCTGCAGGCAGCGAGGACAAAAAGCCGGGCAGTGGTATCCTGAGATCCAGGGCAAGGAGGCAGGTGGGAAGGTGACAGCTGATCAGGGAAGCAGGCTGTGGCTGGCGGGCTGGGAGCAGCAGCACCAGGACATGTGGGGGTGGAGCAGCCTGCAAGCAGGAGGGGAGAGGCAATTGCTAAGGCTGGGTGACAGGAGGACAATACACAGGGACCCCGAGGAGACCAGAGATGACAGGGCTGAGCTCTGGCCAGTGGGGTTGCGGACAAGCCCTAAATTGTCTGCCATGAGAAGGATGGGCCAAAAAGGCCAATGGAAAGGGGTGGCACATCTGGGTCTTCGGTGGCAATTTGGTGGCGGGTCCCTCACTCCCTCTCGGAGGGAAGGACCCACCGCAGAAGAATGAAGCAGCATGGTACAACTGCCACCGATCACAGCTTTTTTTTTTTTTTGCTTCGCCGCTTAGGGCAGTAAAAAAGCTGGAGCCGGTCCTACATAGAGGCTATAGAGCTGCTCAGCTGACTTCTTGAGGATTCCCCTGCACTGGAGAATCCCCAGGTGCCTGAGAGCTGGCACCGTGGCTCCTACTCACCCCACTGCTGTCCCCAGTGCAGGGGATGAGGGCAGGGGAAAGGAGGGGAGGCTGGAGTTCAGCTGACTCTGGCAATCCCTGGCTGCTGGAACATCCCACTGGAGTCACAGGCAGCCGGGCACAACTTAGAGCAGCGCTGCAGGTTCTCTAAGTCACGCCAGGCCCCAAGGTGAGGGGAACACACAGGTAGCTGACAGCCATGTGTGAGCCTTCCACCCTCTTCCCTAAACTCTGCCCCTGCACCAAGTGCAGCTTGGCCAGAGCAGAGGGTCTGGGCCTGAGGTCTCTAGCGGTGGAGGGGTGTGATGGGTTTAGAAAATAAAGGCTGGGAGGGCTCCCTGCTCTGTAAATAGGCTGGGGAACAAGAGCTAGGTCCCATGGAGACCAGGAAAAAGGGCCGGGTCTCTCTGTTCCACCTCTTGCAAACAAGGATCAAATTCCACATCCTGAGTTGTTCATAATAAACCCAAGTTGTGAAGAGAAGGGGTGAGGTTTCCTGGCAAGATCTGCACTGCTCAGTACCAGGAGCAAGTTCTTACCCTGCCTGATAAGGAAGAAGCCTTTCCTGTGCACAGGGTTCTCATGCAGAGCCAATTACATCCCAAACAGCATGTGATTAAACTTCAGTGCTGGAGTCCCCACCTGCTGTGTGTTAAGGGCTGGCAGTAGGAATCAGCCACTGCTCACAGCCTTGCCCCACAGGGACTTGAATGTACTCCTTCCTGAACAATGTCACAGGCCTGGTCTACACTACGGGTTTAGGTCGACTTTAGCCGCGTTAAATCGAATTAAGCCTGGACACGTTCACACGACGAAGCCCTTTCTTTCGACTTAAAGGGCCCTTTAAACCGGTTTCTTTACTCCACCTCCGACGAGGGGATTAGCGATAAAATCGGCCTTAGGGGGTCGGAATTGGGTTAGTGTGGACGGAATTCGACGTTATTGGCCTCTGGGAGCTATCCCACAGTGCTTCATTGTGACCGCTCTGGACAGCACTCTCAACTCAGATGCACTGGCCAGGTAGACAGGAAAAGCCCCGCGAACGTTTGAATTTCATTTCCTGTTTGCTCAGCGTGGAGAGCACAGGTGACCACGCAGAGCTCATCAGCACAGGTAACCGTGATGGAGTCCCAGGATCGCAAAAGAGCTCCAGCATGGACAGAACGGGAGGTACGGGATCTGCTCGCCATATGGGGAGATGAATCAGTGCTGGCTGAACTCCGAAGCAGTAAACGAAATAGCAAAATATTAGAAAAGGTCTCCAAGGCCATGAAGGACAGAGGCCATAACAGGGACGCACAGCAGTGCCGCGTGAAAATTAAGGAGCTAAGGTAAGCCTACCACAAAGCCAGAGAAGCAAACGGAAGGTCTGGGGCTGAGCCGCAAACATGCCGCTTCTACACGGAGCTGCATGCCATTCTAGAGGGTGCAGCCACCACTACCCCAACCGTGTGGTATGACTCCATCACTGGAGAAACACACAGGGAAGAGGGTTCGGAAGAGGAGGATGGAGAAAATGTACATAGCTCACAGCCGCAAGGAAGTGGAGAAACCGGTTTCCCCAACAGCCAGGATATGTTTGTCACCCTGGACCTGGAACCAGTAACCCCCGAACTCACCCAAGACCCTGAGGGCACACAGGGGACCTCTGGTGAGTGTACCTTTGTAAATATTACACATGGTTTAAAAGCAAGCGTGTTTAATGATTAATTTGCCCTGGCAATCGCGGCCAGTACAGCTACTGGAAAAGTCTGTTAACGTGTATGGGGATGGAGCGGAAATCCTCCAGGGACATCTCCAGAAAGCTCTCCTTCATGTAATCCCAAAGCCTTTGCAAAAGGTTTCTGGGGAGGGCTGCCTTATCCCGTCCGCCATGGTAGGACACTTTACCACGCCAGGCCAGTAGCACGTAGTCTGGAATCATTGCATAACAAAGCATGGCAGCGTATGGTCCAGGTGTTTGCTGGCATGCAGACAACATCCATTCCTTATCGCTCTTTGTTATCCTCTGGACAGTGATATCATTCACGGTCACCTGGTTGAAACGGGGCAATTTTATTAAGGGGACATTCAGAGGTGCCCCTTCCTGGTCTGCTGAACAGAAATATTCCCCGCTGTTAGCCACGCGGTGGGGGGGAGGGGTGAAGTGATCATCCCAGAGAATTGGGTGTGGGGGGGAGGGGAATTAGTTGGGTTTGTGCTGCATGTTAACCCTGAAACCGCAGCCCCTCCTTTTACATTGCAAACCCATTTTAAATGGCCAACCCAACGGGTGCTTGGTATGGGTAATGAGAGCAGTACTGTTTGAAACTATTCCCACATGTTAAGAAGGTTAAAAAAGCCCAAAGACTGTGTCTTACCATGGCTGCCTGCAAGCTGAAATCTGTGGCCTGGCACTGCGTGAGTGATCTCTCACACCAAACCGGCAGGCCCTCAATATAAGAGGAAAAATGCGACCTTGTAACGAAAGCACATGTGCTGTGTAATGTGAACAGCAAAATTTAACGTGAAAGAGTGTACCCATTGTTCTCTAAAATGTGTCTTTTTTAACCACCTCTCCCTTCTCCTCCACCAGCTGCAAATGTTTCTCCTTCACAGAGGCTAGTAAAGATTCAAAAGCGAAAGCGAAGGACGCATGATGACATGTTTACAGAACTACAGATGTCCTCCCACGCTGACAGAGCACAGCAGAATGCGTGGAGGCAGTCAATGACTGATTATAGAAAAGCCCAATATGAGCGAGAGGAGAGGTGGCGTGCTGAATCGCGGGAGGAACAGAGCAAGTTGCGGGCTGAAGATGATAGGTGGCATCAGCTTGCACACAGAAGGCAAGAGTCGATGCTCCAGCTGCTGAAGCATCAAACTGATATGCTCCAGCGTATGGTTGAGCTGCAGGAAAGGCAGCAGGAGCAGAGATCGCCGCTACAGCCCCTGTGTAACCAACAGCCCTCCTCCCCAAGTCCCATTGCCTCCTCACCCAGACGCCCAAGAACACGGTGGGGGGGCCTCCGGCCAACCAGTCACTCCACCCCAGATGATTGCCCGAGCAATAAGTGTTAAAGTTTTAAAGTTTTAAACTGCAGTGTGTCCTTTTCCTTCCCTCCTCCCCCACCCATCCCGGGCTACCTTTGCAATTATCCCCCTAGTTGTGTGATGAATTAATAAAGAATGCATGAATGTGAAGTAACAATAACTCTATTGCCTCTGCAAGTGGTGCTCGAAGGGGGGAGGGTAGGGGAGGGTGGGGTGGTTGGTTTACAGGGAAGTAGAGTTAACCGGGTGGGGGTGTGTGTGCGGAGGGTTCATCAAGGAGGAACAAACAGAAGTTTCACACCGTAGTCTGGCCAGTCACAAAACTCGTTTTCAAAGCTTCTCTGATGCGCACCACGCCCTGCTGTGCTCCTCTAACCGCCCTGGTGTCTGGCTGCGCGTAATCAGCAGCCAGGCGATTTGCCTCAACCTCCCACCCCGCCATAAATGTCTCCCCCTTACTCTCACAGATATTGTGGAGCGCACAGCAAGCAGCAATAACAATGGGGATATTCTTTTCGCTAAGGTCTGAGCGAGTCAGTAAGCTGCGCCAGCGCGCTTTTAAACGTCCAAATGCACATTCCACCACCATTCGGCACTTGCTCAGCCTGTAGTTGAACAGGTCCTGACTCCTGTCCAGGCTGCCTGTGTACGGCTTCATGAGCCATGGCATTAAGGGGTAGGCTGGGTCCCCAAGGATCACGATAAGCATTTCAACATCCCCAACGGTTATTTTCTGGTCCGGAAAGAAAATCCCTTCCTCCAGCTTTTGAAACAGAGCAGAGTGCCTGAAGACGCAAGCATCATGTACCCTTCCCGGCCAGCCCACGTTGATGTTGGTGAAACGTCCCTTGTGATCCACCAGGGCTTGCAGCAGCATTGAAAAGTACCCCTTGCGGTTTATGTACTCGGTGGCTTGGTGCTCCGGTGACAAGATAGGGATATGGGTTCCGTCTATCGCCCCAGCACAGTTTGGGAATCCCATTGCAGCAAAGCCATCCACTATGGCCTGCACGTTTCCCAGAGTCACTACCCTTGATATCACCAGGTCTCTCATTGCCCTGGCAACTTGGATCACAGCAGCCCCCACAGTAG